AGTTCGGGCGGTGGTTGATATGAAGACCATTTCTGATGCAGTTCCCTGACTTTGACGCCAAAGTCGCTGTTCGAGGGATCGCTTTTACCGCCGACCATTGTCTTCTTCCACTCCTCTGTGATATCGGAAACCTCCGCGCGGAGTGCAGTCATGAGTCTGCCAATGATCCTCGATTCGTTCTTCTGGCTTTCGAAGTCGTCCCAGAGACGAGCTAGATCCTTGTCCCATGCTTGCACGGGGACATCTTTTCCAAAAAGAGCATCCGAGAACTTCTTCAATGCGTCTGCGATTGTGTCCTCAGCTACTATGAATTTGAGCTCGTCCAGAATATGTATGGAGCCATCCCTGTTGACGTAGTTTCGTCTAGAGCTCCTCTCATTCTCATATTCTGGGTCTTTGCCTTTCATTTGCATGTCGCGCTTCAGCCGGTCGTAGTCTTCGCGAGTGAATAGCAGTCCTTGTTTGGCTTGGTCGACAAGGAGAGCAACCAGTGTGCTCAAAGCAACGGCCCGTTCGCTGTTGACGCCTCTTTCCAGGTAACACAGTTTTTCTTTGAACTTGGTAGCGATGCCTAAATACCCAGGTTGCATATTAAACGAGATCGCGGTACAAAGAAAGTCTGTGCATGCACTATCGACATCAGTGGCTGCGTCTAGGATGGACTCGAAGCTTGGGTTGCACTTTCGGAGGTATCCTTGTCCGACAAGATCCGGCTCAACTGGCTTCGGCGCGTTGTTGAAATTATTGACAACATCCGGGTCCCAGCAGATCCAAGCCAAGTCGCCGTCGTAGTCGCCTCCAGAGAGCATATCAGCCAGCGGAGACTTGCCCTTTGACGAGAAGACAATAACATCTTTAAGTATTTTCAGGTTTGGCCGGAATACAGCTTTGACTTTCTGTATATCGCTGACAAAGTGAGCTGGAGCTCGAGCTACCAGGATGTCGATGCCATCGAGTAATGTATCTGATTCTCCGTCTGCTTGGAATTTCGAGGAAAACGCAAGCTGTACCTCACCTTCTTCCAGGGTACCAGTGAAGTCGACGGTCATGAAGGCGTAGGTCGAACGAGGTATTTTTATATTCATTTTCGCCTTGAGCTGTTCAGCCTGTCGCTTCTGGTTATTCCATACCATATCCCGCAGAAACCGACATTTGGTGGCGTCGAAGCCAGCATCGAGCATGTATGAGATAATGTCTTCTTCTCGTTCCGGCAGCGCGCCTAGGAAGGGGACGTTTCCCAATGTCGCTCGGTCAAAGCCGCGATGTGTAAAACCACGAAGATTGGTCGGATGAGTCATGGCAGCGAGCTGTCCCCCGATCTCCTCTTGAAGCCCATTCGCTAGGTGACGGGCAATGACATTGCGCATGTCCTGGGGTACAGGCGCCTGTGCCTCAAGGACCGGGATGAATTGTGTATTGAGAGCAGCTGACCGAAGCTCTCTGGACCACTCGCGTACTTCAAATGTCCGATGATGAACGTCTTCAAAGTCGCAGTTCCATTTTCGCTGCGAGGGATATGTCTCGATCCAATCGTCATTGTCCAATCCATCGTCTTCAACGTCGACAATCCACATCCCTTTCGCACTGCCAATACGAGCCTGGAACGCACACGGCGTTTCCAAGAGTCCCATGTGAGTCGCTATCCTTCGCGCTAGGTTTCGAGACATTCGACCGATGCCGTCACCCATATCCTTTTGCTCATTCTTCTCTTTCTTGGTCATGTACTTGTGGAAGCCTAACATAGTGTCGCGATGTCGAAATTGGTGAGGTTCAATGACGATGGTGGGGACAGTCTTACTGAGGCCTGGACTGGGATATTAGCTAAGAGTACGGGAAGTAGTAGGTCAGACAACTCACTGAGAGCAAGTCGTGAGAAGAGCTTGGGCACCGGTTGCGACGAGTTTTGCTCAATGTTAATAGCCCAGTTCAAGAGATCACAGCGCCTCATCTTTGTACGGTGTCCTGGAGAAGTTGCTTCTTCCAAAGGAGGAAACTGGCTCATGGGGACACGAAAGTTGATACCGTCAGTTGCGAAGAAATACACGCGCTCTTGCATGATTGTAAGTGACTTGTGAGGAGGGCGTGGATCCTTGATAGATTTCTTGGCCTCGCGAGTGTAGAAAGCTGCCCATGACCGACCGGCAAAGTAATGGAAGGTTTCAGTCAACCATTTGATGACCTTATTTGCACCTTGCGGATCTTGCTTGATCACATCGGGAGCATCCCTAGAAGTGGGTGAGGGCATAATAACTTCCAGGAAGCGATCTGCACCAAAGCGCCGAGCCAGTCGATGTCCCAGTTCAAGACGCGGAGGCTGAAGTTTTAGCCGATATAGTTGCCCAGTATCTTCTGTATTACAGAGAAATTCTGCAGCAAGGACGACGACTTTGTCATTTGAGGCGAACGATCCGAACGCAGCATCCCACACAGCACGATCACAAGCTGGAGGCAAGCCCTGTCCCACGAAGAGTCGATGTCTGAAGAGCTGGCCTCGGAACTTGGTTTGATCATGCCAACTATCGTTGGGCTGATATTCGAGGTCCCATGTAGACAAGTCCACGCGACAATGAAGTGCAGCACGGGTAAGCTCCCACAGGATAATGAGAGGTGCCTGATTCAATCCGGGTATGGGGAATTTTGGCCAGATGTTTCGGAGACGATCTGTCAGCGGACATTCAGGCAGTTCTGGATCGAACATCGGAGCATCGAGCAGCATTGTATCGAACTCGTTCATTTCTGGCAGGCTGGAGTAGGCTGTCGCGGGACTGCTGGATCGAATCATGCCTGCTCTCTTCAAGTCAACTTGACTTCTGATCGGCCGAGGCATCGATAGAACTGGAAGCCTTGGTTCTTCCTCAGGCTCATCATCATCGGTGAGATCGATGACAGGCTCTGGGGGCGTTCGATCCCCATACCTTCGAAACGAAGGCGGTTCCGGTGAGTCAACGTCATTGCGGTTTTCCTCGCTTGGCGGTTGGTACGCAAATCTTTGAATGCTTTGAGAGAAAGGAACCTGAATGTCCTTAGATGATGTCGCATTGCTAGTGAAGGAAGGCTGAGTGGCCTGAAACGGATGCTGAGATCTTTTGAAAGAGGTGTTCGTCACAGTAGTTGCTTGAGTACTCGGCGCATAGTCATTTGTGAAAACAGTTGGAGCCAGTGAGACTTTACTGGAATTAAATGACCTTATGCCAAACGATGATGGCTGCGTGCTGGCAAATGACGTGGTGGCGGAATTGACTATGCCATTGGTGAAGGACGATGCACCTGCGCCCCTAGCGGGCCGTCCCGTTGATAGACGGCTACTGGAGGGCACAGCTCTAGAGCGGACTGGGATACTGTCAATGCTCTCGCACGCAGGAGAACCATCGAAAGAGTTTCTAGATCTCTTGGAGCTAGGATCCGGGAATTCGTCAGACTTGCGCTTCGAGTACTTGGAGCGCTGGCGGTTCGCGATATTGTCGTCTTTGAGCAACTGCAGCAGAAAGTCCTGCAGCTCGGCCCGCTCCTCAGAGGTCAAGCGGGTACGAGAACGGTGTGGGCCAAAGGATTTGCTCGGGGTTGTATCAGGGTCAGCGCGGGGCTTCCGGATCCAATTCTTGAGATGTTCGTCTGCCTGCTCACGGAAGCGAGTCAGACATATCGCAAGACGGTTAGGGTCCTGGAACTTGAGGCGATATGCGCATAAGTAGATATGTTCGCTTCGCTCTTGGTCTCCATTGCGATGCTGTTGCCGGCGCTTACTGGGCGACAGAGTTAGGTCTGGGATGTGCAGCTGAAGCTGGAAATCAGTGCTGAGTGAGCGGACTGTGCGATCGAGTTCGTCTTTGGCTTGCTCTCCTTTCCTGGGTGAGAGCTGACTAGCCATGACAACCGGCGCTAGAAGTCGAGAATGAGAGTCAAAACGGTTGAAACAGTGGAATAAGTGAATGAGGAATCTGTGATGCGAGCATGAGAGCAGAGCCTAGAGTCAAGTAAAATTAGCGCGCGACAATTGAGGGCGGGAGATGCGCTCAGCTTGCGCTGGGCTGCGCAGAGGCTCAGCCAGCCAGACCTGCAGGCCGTACAATTGTGATTGAAGCGTCCCTTAACTAACAGCCAGGATGCCTCATAAGCGTTTGAGTTTTTGGGCACGTTGCCGAAAGTGTTCAAACGGCTGCAACGGTTTGGTCTTCAAAGACGGTGATGGTTCGTTGCAACAAAACAGCTCTATTCAGCAAATCAATACACAGCCTCGTGAACCAAGTTGAGTCCAATGCTGGATCATGCAAGAACAAATTGTTTATCACAAAAATATGGTGATTGGCCAGGGGAGCATGGGCGAGCGCAGATGTTGGAGAGGAGCTAAGGGGCCTGAGACAGGCAGTGAATGGAAGGCCCCCACGCAAAAGAAACAGAAGGACGAGACAACAAAAAAGGGCGAGAGATAAAGCGTTTCATGTTAAACTGAAGTTGCATTGATTGAGTGCTAATAGGGACTGTCGATAATTGTGAAAATGAAGCCGATCATGATAGACAACTGACGATTTATTCATGTTCTCTCTTGTCTCTCTACCCTAGAGACGACATCATGCGATGACTGGCTGTGGCTTGCCTCACGGATTCGGCCTCAGTTTATCCGACCGGTGGCTTCGGGATGTCGGGTCTCGTGCCCCATCGAAGGGATCAACAGCCAACCATAGAGTCAAGAGACAAAGCGACAGAGAATCGAAAGGTCAAAAGAAAGATCAGCCGCCAAGTACATTCTTCCTCTTCTTTATTACCTTATTAATACCAGCCCGACCCTGAACTAAAACCAATTCGAAAGCCGAACCGGCCCCGCTCGTCAGCACCCCAATCTTCCCCTCCCTCGCCCGCTCTCTTATCGCTATCGCATGGGAGACTCTCGGAGTTCGGCATTCGTAAACCCTCATCTGCAATCATAACATCACATCGCAATTGCTATCGCGACCTTTGTTTGGCTCCACGGCTCGTCTCTGAGCCCATATCCCCGATTCACCATGGCCGAGAACCCCAGTCCAGAGGAGCGGGTAGCCATTGATGAGCTGACCCCAGAGGAGGCCAATCGAATCATACATTCCCATCGCAAGGTTCGCTACGGTAAGACATGTTGTGAATAACCTCAATTGGGGAATTCCATGCTCATCATCACGTTAGGTACTGCATGTTGGCCCTGTCGCCAGAGAAAAGTCAAGTGCGACAATAAACAGCCTTGTGAGAACTGCGTCAAGAGGGAGCATCCACGACTATGTTCCTATAAGCCCAACCGCTCATCAACCTCAAAGCCATCAGGCTCTGGTGCACCTTCAGAAGCAAGTCAAGGCATCGCCAGTCGCAAGAGGACACTTTCATTCTCAGAGGTTCCTCGCGACGAGGGAGTGCGCAAGGTCGAGCGACAGGACAGTTGGCCGCGCACCCTTGGTGAGTGTCCGAACTTCCGGGTCATGCCACTGTTCATACGACTAATAAGCAACACAGCAAGCATCGATGAACCTGAAGTCGCAGCAGACCGTTACGTTGGACAGAATAGTATTCCTGCTCTACTGCGCGAGCAGTCTTCACCAGTTCACAAAGGCGACGGTCTTGACATTCGACAAGACATGAGGTCCATTCTCGGGTTGGACACATCGGCGCCTTTTCCGCTGATGTCGTCGCATCACCTTCAGAAATTGACACAGGATATATCAACTGAATTGCCTTCCGACCGTGAGGTTATGAAGTGAGTATTCGCCTCCCGCTCAATTCCTATGGCGGCACCGTAAGCTGACGAGCCATTCAGGCTGTTCCGCACATACAAGGAAATACCTCAGCCTTTTTGGGGATTCGTTATGGACATTGATGACCTCGAAGCTAAGCTCATGACTTACCTGGAAGATCGTTCGCGAAATGCCACTAGCGGTAGCAAGTCCACCAAACCCGTTACAGCATCATGGCTAGCAATACTCTTTGCCGTTTTGGCTGTCGGATCACAGTACCACGAATCGCCATACCATATCCGCACCCGAGACTCTCAGCGCTTCATTCAGATATCATTTCACTTCCTCCGACTGGGCAACTTTCTTCTTCGGTAATGCAACCTGCCAGCTTTGACAAACTTGGACTGACACATCGCAGACCTTCTTTTGACTCCATCCAAGCTCTTCTTCTCACATGTTTCGTTCTTCTGAATGACATGAAGGCTGAAGCATCATGGGCGCTGATGGGATTGACCTGTCGTCTTGCCCAGTCGCTCGGTCTACACAGAACACCGCGCAACGAAAGCCGCGACTGTACACCCCCAAACACCCAATCGAAAGAAATGGTGCGAAGAAGATTATGGTGGAGTGTTGTATGGCACGATACCTTGACATCGCTATCCTTTGACAGGTGAGTATCAAGTATCGCATGTTGATGGCTCACCTCTGATGATGCTAGATCTCCAATGACCAACTTCCCCTGCTGTCCGATCCCCGTCATGACGCCGACACCAAACGGCAACTACTCATACCTCGAAACAATGTACCATCTCATGGAGATCATTTCTCGTCGCCTAAATCCCGACGACATGATGAGTGCTTCATACACTCAAATCATCGACGACTGCGAAGCCGTAGAGACCCTTCGAAGTCGCACCGCACCACAGTTACGAAACAAAGAAATCTGCAAGACAGCCCTTGACCGTCTGCAACACTATGCAATCCGCCTCCACACATCATTTGTCATCTCCGTCGCATGTCGCCCAGCACTCCGAAAAGACAGCGAATTCGAACCTGAGCAGCGAAAGACGCTAGCAGATCGCTGCAAAGACAACCTAACCGAAACCGTCAGAATGTTCCTCGCCATGCACCAGCTCTCCTCCATCCCAACGCGAAGCTGGGCCTTCACGTACCACGGCCTATCATCAGCTCTGCTCCTCGGCATACTATGTGAGACAAAGACGGATCCAGAGGTTCGGCAGTTACAGGGGGATCTCATCGCCGCCCTTTCTGCCACTGCTGCCAAAGACGTTAGCTCCCCCGAGCCGCATGTCATGACCACCGACAAGGACATTGAACTCTCCGGCCCACTGTACCGCGCCCTCACGGCCCTCAAGAACATTTACGACCATGGCTCTATTGTTCCGTCACATCTCAAGAAAGAAGGCGACGCCTCTGCCGCCGGCAGCGGGAGCCGGACGCCCCTTAACCTTTTTGGAAACCCAGGTCAACTTCCCGGAAATGGCAATTCAATGTTTCGCAACGTTTCCCAGAGCGCGGACCCAAGAGAGGACGCAGCGCTTGCTATGGCTGAGATGCAAAACGGAGGAGCTTCGATCCAAGACTTTCCAGGGTCAGTATTCTATTCTCCCCAATTTGGTGTGAACGTTTCTAAAAGTGTGTCTAGTCTTGCGTACGGTCAGCAGATGCCAAACGGAAACCTGAATCTTGACAGCATGAACGCCATGAATGTCGATCCTACGCAATACATGGCTCCCATGGACCTCTACGAATCTATCTGGGGTGGTATGTCATTTCCTATCTGTCATATTTCTCTTTTGAGCAGCCACCGAAAAGCTAACTCGCCACAGAATCGCCGGACCCGTGGAACACGGGAATGGACTCGTTGAACTTTGACTTCCTAGCCCAGCCACCGCCAGGCCAGCCCCAGCAGCAGTTTTACTTCTGAACGTGACCAGTCCTCTTACGGCATTAACTACCGGGTGGTGAACCCGACAGGAGGGAGAAATTTGAGATACTTCGATCAGATTGAGATTGTACGTTATCACGGAATGGCGTCAAAGGGGAGGGTCAACGTTTTGACTTTTTACTATTTGAGTTGTAAAAAATACAACTGAGCGATAAAATCAGGGCATTTCATACATAATATTCAAGTCGTTACTCTTTTTTCCGGTGTGCTCTGTCTTTTAAACGCCCGAGAAACCGAGGTCAGCCAAGCCTCATTCGGAGCTGGAAACCCTTTCCGTTCCGTCACGGGAAGGGAGGCAAAGAAAACACAAATCGTCAGAGCTCTCTTTGATCGTTCAAAACGGACCCCACGGAAAGGAGGGAGCGTTCAGATCGCCGCGGGAGCCAAGAGAACCGGAGGTTACACAGACCCCAAGGGGGAATGCTAAACCGTCTCGGCGGTGACATCTCCGGGCGACGAATCAATGTCTTCATCATCCGATTGCATTACAGTTGCCTAGGGGGAAGGGGTTTGATATAAGCTTTTCGTGTTATTCCTCCTTTGGGCAAAGGGGCCTGACCCTGCGTCTCGGCACAACGGTCCCTTGCCCGGAACGGGGGGGAGAAAGCGAATAAGGAATCGCCAAGAGTGAAGTTTTCAGGTCTATTTCTTGCGACGGGATGATGTGGCGACGATCTTCTTCTTTAGGTGCTTGGGCATCTTCTCCTTGCGCTTCTCGCGCTTAGCTTCCTTGACGGCTTGTTTATGGGCCTGGAGAGTCGTTGGTCAGTCAAATTCCTCGAGGAGAATGGGTGTTGAGATACAAACCTTCTTCTCATCCTTGTCCTCGAAGCGACGGCCTCGGGGAGGACCCTTTTCAAAGTTGGCCTCGTCGTTGGAGTCACCTGAGAGAGATGCGCCATCATCGTCAGAGTCAGATGTAGAACCTTGCTCCTCTTCGCCATCTTCACCGTCCTTCTTGGGAGCAATGACCTGGTCTGCCAGTAGATTACTGTAGACAAGGTCGTTACCTTCACCTTGTGTTACCTTCTGAGCATCCTTCTCAATATCGTAGACTTGTTCTAATGTCTGAGGAATGTACTGATTTCTGAACACCTCGTTGTCAACCTCGATCTGAGCCGCCTGGTCTTCACTTGTATCAGCGCGAGTCTCGTACAGAGTCTCGATCGCCTTGGCCATTTCTGGCTCCTCTACAGGACCCTCAGGGGTAGTGATGAAGTTGAAGATAGCGCGGTCAGCAAGCGTATCAACGCCCTTGCGCCTAAAAAAGTCGCCCACGTTCTTGATGTCCATACGTAGGAACTCAAGAGAGCGAGGATGATCGGGCTCCACACTCTGCGACACATCAATGATGTACAGCTTCTCCTTGTGGTAGAGAATGTTGTACTCGCTCAGATCGGCGTGCACAAGACGGCAGACCTGATAAATTCGGCGCATGATGCCAAGCAGCTGGACATAAAGCTTATACCACTGCTGATCGACATCGTCGCCCGTCAAAGTAGCGTCACGGAGGCGAGGATACGCCCATCCCTTGCGGTCGCCGAGGAAGCCCATGACGAGAACGTGAAGCTTTAGGCTGATGGGCTCTGGGCAGGGAATACCAGCTGTGTAGATCCTTCGCAAGTTGCGGAATTCCTTCTCCGCCCAAAGTTTAACCATCTTTCTGTTGTTTCCCTTGTCGAAGCCACCCTTGAAACGGTGCTCACCGGTGATGTAACGCTCTCTGTCTTTGAAGCTGAGGATGGCTGTCTTGTAGACCTTGATCGCTCTCTGGGTAGCCTCGCCGGTTTGATCATCGTGGAGCACGGCGCCGTAGACGTTGGCTTCTTTACCAGTGCTGATAGCACCGTGGACTTCGCTAACGAAGCCACGGTTGATCATCTGGAGGAGAATCATGCGGGTGCGCTGGTCGAGGACTTGTTCGCTGGTGGCGCGGTCGGCCTTGTCCTTGTCCTTCTCGACATCTTGCTTGACAGTGTCAAGACGAAGCTTAGCGGCATGTTTAGAGAGGGCGGATACTTGATCGTCGACGCTGGCAAAGGTATTCGCAGTAGGTTTCTGCTGATTCGAGCGAACAGCGGCGCCGTCGGCATTGCGCTGGCGGTTATAAGATTTTGTCAAGTCGCCCGCATCAGCAGCCCACTCATTATCGTCGAAATCTTCCTCAAAGATATCGTCAAAGTCATTATCGTCTTCTTGCTCGAGAAGAGCGCCGTCGTCTTTTTGGGTCTGGAGTTCGCGGGGTATTTCTTCTGTCTGTTCGTAGCCCTGGTTTGCTGTGTATTGGTAGGGAGGCTCGTGAGGAGCAGCTGGTCCTGCTGCCGGATCCATGATGGTCAATTTGCAATGGGATTTAGCGAGATTGCAAAATATGTCGGTTATGTTGGCGAAAACAAATTCGATGAAGGCGTTGTGGAATTTTTGTGCAACCTTGTTACCGCGGGGTTCAAAAAAACGTTATCTTACCTTATCAGTAGATGTGTCTGTCTACCAGGGTTCACTCTAACGTTGTAAGATGATTCTTGGCAGATCGAGAACTGCAATCGATTATTTATATAGAAATTTTGCCTATTTTTGCTGAATATTTCTCAAGGCAGATCAATCATTTTTACTCATATTGACGATCTGGATAATCTCAATTTCCCTTTTGCCTGGTGTTTTTTTCGTCTAGGGGGCTGTCAATGGAGATGCCGCTGTATTTGGTGAGTCATGGAGGGGTAATTTTCAGTGGAGGAGTCATGAGATGAGCCATCGATGATGACTTCACATCGAACCTCCATTGCCTTTGTCATCAAGTCCAGTATCGTGCAGAGAGAAGCACGATGACTACGGGAGTGAATGACTGCAATCATCGCCACATCAGTCATTATCAGGCCTAAAGCAGAAAAGCACAGACATGACTGTTGAGTGTAAAATTAGAACTCGTTACGACGCATCTGTTTACAGTAATTCAATGGAGAAACTTGTGTGAGAGACTTGATTGGACCTCCAACTCTACTGAGAAGTAAAGAGCCTCAAAGCGGAAGGGACCGAGCCTTTGTCAAGCATTGACCAATGGCTGCCACTTCACTCTCTTCGGAGCATTTCCCCCAGAATCGGAAGAGACGGCTTGAGCATCGTTTCAAACATCAACACCACCGCCAGCATCATCATAGCGAGTCAGTGCATTCCCGCTCGCCGACCGCTCAAGCCACGGCCATCTCTAGTTAGCAGTAAGATGAGGTTATTTACGAAACCATGGAACCGACAACTTGGATACGGCCCGGATGAGAGTTTTCCGTCCAAGACTCGTCGGTCCATGATCTTGGAAGAAGAGGGACAACAAGATGTTGCTGTCATACTGTAACCTAGGCGCCATCTACGACAGATATACAGAAAATGCAGGAACAGAACTGGGCGTGACCTTGATCAAATCGACCAAGACAGAAACAACGACATTGTTGTAGATCTAATGATCTATCAAGCGTCCTTTCATCATACCCGTCCCAACTTGCTCACCTGCTCCGTCGATCATCGCACCAATAAAGTCTCAAAGCAATCGTTTTTGTCAGTCTCAAGCCGATACTTGGCCGATGAACACGCACACGCAAGACCCTGACAATTGTAATTGCGGCGCACGCCTTCAACGTCAAGATGGGGACCCTTTACGACAAACGCGGACAAATCAGACGCAGGTACCAGGAACCAAGAACGGACATTTTGGGCCATGTCTCGGTCATGGCTGTTCTGCCGTGCGCGTGGCATTCATTCTAGGGTATAAAATGTCTAGTCCCAAGGCCCCGGAATGCAGATGCCAGGCCATACTATACTCGATCCAGATACATTCCACGCAAAACCACCCTCTTCACGGGCCACATTCCACATTAGGCTCTCCAGCATGGCTTCACTTAGCTCCAGGCTTGCCCAGAATGCCATGCTATTGATCTCGAAGTGCCTCGAAAATAGACTTTGCCCTCGATCCGGAACACTCAACCCGCCCCTTACAATGGATCGCTGCTACTCCCATTGTCTTGATATATGAGGTCCGGCCCCCCGTCCTCCTAATGCATCTGTATCTCACGATCACTATTACTTCTCACCTACCCATCATTCACGATGAAATTCAGCACGGTTTCCTTTCTCCTCCTCGCCGGCTGTAGTACGGGTATTCCTCATGAAATCCGTGGCGATGTCTACGAGGTGAAGAATCCATTCTCACCCAACGCCGTTGATCCAGAAGTTGAAGGAGTAAAGGGTCTGCAAAAGAGGACAATAGACCCCAAGGGAGACCAAGCCCTTGCGGCACGTGGCGACGTGTACGAGGTCAAGAATCCCTTCTCACCTAATGCTGTTGACCCTGAGGTTGAAGGTGTGAAGGGTCTGCAAGACCGGGACATAAAGCCCAGGGATGTAAAGGCACGTGGCGATGTCTATGAAGTCAAGAATCCTTTTTCACCCAACGCTGTTGATCCAGAGGTTGAAGGAATCAAGGGCTTGCAAGAGCGAAGCATTGATCCCGAGGAACAAGAAGAAGAGGAACTCGGCAAGACGCTGCGAGGTCGAGCTATCGATCATGAGAATGATCCCGACTCGGCTCACCTCAAGCCCAGGGCTGGCGGAGAAAAGGTCAAGATGGACCAACTCACCAACACGAACTACAAGAAGCCTCATGCCGAAATTGCCCTTATCCAGGCATACAACAAATACAATAAGCCTTTACCCCCAACGCTTAAGAAGATTGCTCAACATGAGGCTGCCCTCATCAACAGCAAATTTGGTTAGTCTTGTCACTTGGCTTAATGAATACGACTAACACCCGCCAGGAATGAAGGGCTCTGCTTCGGCAACACCGCCTCAGTACTACGATTCACAGTATGTGGTTCCTGTCACGATTGGTACTCCATCTCAGCAAACATACTTGAACTTTGATACTGGCTCATCTGATCTGTAAGTTGCCTGTCTTTGATCAAGCAAGGAGCATTACTAATTGCCACAGCTGGGTGTTTTCTACAGACACATATCAACCTGACCAGGCTGGTCATATTCTTTACAAGCCAGGCAAGTCAACAACTTCCAAGCGACTGAATGGTCAGACTTGGAGTATCAAATACGGTGATGGCACTGGTGCCAGTGGCATTGTCTATACCGACAAGGTTCAAGTTGGAAAGACCTATGTCAACAAGCAGGCCGTTGAGTCTGCTACTGAAGTATCGGATGGTATCGCCGCAGACAAGTTTTCGCACGGCATCATGGGCCTCGCCATGTCAAGCTTGAACACTGTCCGACCTACACCTCAAAAAACCTACTTCCAGAACGTGCAGGACAGCCTAGCAGTTCCAGTCTTTACCGCCAATCTGCAGAAGGGCAAGGCTGGAAACTACAACTTTGGATATATCGACCAAGGAGAGTACTACGGAAGTATTCAATTCGCCAAGGTTACGAAGGACAGTCCTTGGTGGCAGCTCAATATTGAGGGCTTCCGCGTCGCTGAGGGTGCACCGTGGCACAAGTACAGCTATTCAGCCATCGTTGATACCGGCACTACACTCCTTCTTCTGCCCAGCTACCTTGTCAACTTCTACTACAAAAAGGTCAAGGGCGCTTACGTCGATCAAGACTACGGTGTCTGGGTTTTCCCCTGCTCAGCCAAGCTTCCTAGCTTCTACTTTGGCTTCGGCAGCTACCGCGGCAAAGTCCCCGGAAACTATATCAACTATGGCCGTCTCACCACCACCGTCTGCTACGGTGGCATTCAGAGCTCCGACGGAATTGGATTCGCCATTCTGGGCGACATCCTACTCAAGGCGCAGTTTGTCGTCTTCGACCTCAAGGGTCAGCGTGTTGGATTCGCCAACAAACTCACAGTCACGTCATAAGGCAATTTCATTTGAATGCTGTTCTTTGGTGATACTCATTCACTAGCTAGACTACTATCTCTTTCCTAGCGTCGTAAAATCATCAGTTTGCTGCATTGGGAAGCGAGGGCGTTCTTGTTGGGGTAAATCGGTGCCTGCATTTACTACCGTATAGCTCAAAGTTTAATAAAACGCCGACCAGGCCTTTTTCGGATTGATTTGCATTTCAAAAATGAAATAAACTCCGTCGAAATACCGCATTTGTCACGTTTGCCCCTTGCTTGGAATACATGGCTTGTCGATGGAATTCGATTATTCAGCTGCCGGATATTGAATGAGCAATGTGGATCATGGACCAACAAGGATCTTGGCATTCATTTGTGATACAAAGTCCTTTGTTCTTACAAATACAATTATAATAAAAATTGGAATATCTTCATGTTCTCGGAGTTTGACATGGAGATAGAGGATTGCTTACGCCCAACGCCAAGGCTATTTGTTCACCCCGCGTCAAGGCTCCGCCAAGATGCAGATCCAGCCTCATTCTCGTCCTCTCCAAAGTTGCATTCACGACGTAATCATCATGCACCGCAGAATTAAACTATAGCCTAAAATACCACTTGTTCCTCTAAATATGACGCCCCAAACGCCTCTTGAACTCTCCATCGAGAACTTGCAAGCCCTCAATCGTCTCAACGATCCATCCATACCAGTACCTATGACGCCCCAAAACATCCTCATCCTCGGCGCCGGGGAACTAGGCCTCTCTGTCCTAGAAGCCCTCACCTCGCACCCCAAGCGTCAACGCTATTCCGTTCTCCTGCGTCAAGCAACCCTTGACTCCGCTGCCCCTGAGAAGAAGAAACTAGTCCAGCGCATTCGTGCCCTCAACGCAGGATTTGAGGCAGCTGACGTCGTCAACGCGAGCGTTGAAGAGCTAGCGTCTATCTTTGAGAAATACGATGTTGTTGTGTCGTGCAATGGCATGGGCTTACCGTCTGGAACGCAGCTCAAGCTTTCAGACGCTGTGCTTAAAGCGGGCGTCAAGAGATACTTTCCCTGGCAGTTTGGGATGGACTATGATATTATCGGGGAGGGAAGTTCACAGGACTTGTTTGACGAGCAGTTACAAGTGCGGAAGAAATTGAGAGCGCAGAGGGACGTTGATTGGACGATTGTGTCGACTGGGCTGTTCATGAGCTTTCTGTTCCTCGCAGACTTTGGGGTCGTTGATCTCGGGAATAAGATCGTCAGAGCACTCGGGAGCTGGGATAACAGAATCACACTCACGACACCTACTGACATCGGGCGCGTCACAGCAGATATAGTCCTCGATCCACGGGGTATATCGCATCAAGTTGTATACACAGCGGGAGATACTATATCCTACGGCGAGCTGGCAGATTTATTGGACAAGCATTTCGGAACCAAGTTCAAGCGCGAGGTGTGGGATCTAGAAGAGTTGAAGAGGCAGATGGAGAGTGAGCCGAGTACGATGGTCAAGTATAGGGATACGTTTGCGCAGGGCCGTGGGGTCGCGTGGGATAAGAGTGGGAGTGTTAATGAGGAGAGGGGGATTGCGATGGTTGACGTGAGGAAGTATCTTGAGGGAATGGATGTATAGTCAAGTCAGATGAGTGAGTGATGGTTGCTCAGGGATGGTGAGTGTTACCTTGCGGTTATGTGCGTGTCTACTTTGGGCGTTGCACATTCACCTTGTATGTCTTGTTGGGGGTAACAGCGGTTGGAGAAAATGCAATATTGATCCGGAGCTGAACAGCAGTCAATCACAAGATTTGAAAGCAATGTCGACATACAGTATAATATCCAACGTTGTACTCCGTACAGCCTCCCGGCACGTCCGTCCAGCCGCCATAGCATCCGGGTGTTATCGGGATATCCTCATTGGGAAAATGTCTTATCAGCCCATAAACAAGCTCCTCCAACAGAAACCGTCTTATCTTGCACCGTGATCCTATCTCATCGTTATCGTTGGTTAACCCAGTTTCCAAAACCGAAAACAGCTCCACGGCGATCAAACATTCTCGTCGTCACCCGCATCAGGCTCTATCCAGTAACATCATCGTGCCCCCCAGACTGTGATTCCTGTCTCCATCCATGCAGTTTTGGTCATCGGGCACAACTCATTCAAGAAAAGAACCTTGGTAGAATACACTTCCTTCTAGGCAGCTCTAGGTATCAATGCACTATAACCACAGCGACTCTCTACCTCTGACAGATGACGACACCCTCCCTCCTCGTTCTGCTTATCGTCATGAGTCCTACGCCCAGCAACCAATCAGGACCGCATCACACGGACGTTGCCTGTCAATCAAACCCATCATGCGCCTCGCCATGCGCTGTGCCTCGTCGATAAGGCTTCCCCAACCCCAAAGTCTTGTCTTATTCGCTGCGCCACCTCGGCTATCTTGGCCTTGTAAGACGCGCCCGGATCAAAGCAAGCAATGCAATATGAGTCACGTCACACAACTGGGAGTGGACTAGGCCGAGGCAGCACTTGTTGTTGCTCACAGTAACAAAGATGAGACAAAGGCCGTAATCGTCATGTAATACAGTGTAAGAGCCTAGTCTAGGTTGGTAGTGCAGTACGCCATCCGCAGTCCATATGACTCCTCCGGCGGCCAATCACGACGATATCGCCCCGGATGAGATGATATCGTATTAATACACCCTCCAGCCTTCGACTCTTCCAGATATCTCTTTCACATTCCCTAATCTCGCGCCCTTTGGTGTTCAAGCACGCAACTTTGCGCCTTTCTTGACAACATAACATCTTTACTTACAACATAGTATCCTTCCTTCACTTGTACAAACCCTTGTTCATCTAACCTAACCTGACCTACTTATAATACGCACCCCCAGCCCATCCATCATGGACGTCTTGCTCAACAGCTCTGGAGACCTTCCAGCTGCAAAGCACTTTGCTATCAATCCTCCCAGCACAATAAAGACCCGCGCCCACACAAGTCGAAACCACTTTGTCCGCGCCACAGCAAAGCGTCAGTCCCAATACAAAGGCGCCAACCTGTGCCGCGAGACCGGGTTTCCCTGCACGACTTCAAATTTCGGAGAGACGCACTGTCTGCGCTGTGGACAACAGGATACAAACGGAGGCGCGCGCCGTCCCCAGCTCGAAAAGATCCTGCACTACGAGATCTCGACGGGGAACTTGCAGCGGGCGAATCCACGATGGACACACGTCCATCGGAACCGCATGGCCCGGAAACATGACCACTCCAGTCTGGGTGGTTCTTCCGATGAGGTCGAGGGGCGAGATCTAGCGAACAGCAGGATCTCTCTGCCCGTTGACCGATTCCGACTCGTGAGGAGGCCTACGCTTGAGAGGGAGGAGGCATTCCGCGATGCTTCGACTGCGAGGGGGAATGTGTACCTTGGACGAAAGATGCCCATGACGGAGGATGATGAAGTCGCAGAGCTGTATCGCATGGGCCTGCTGTACGACGACGAGCAGGTTAGGGGCGAGGGCTTCAGCCTTGACAGTATCAAGCACGAAGAACCCATCTACTCCATCCGCCCAGCCAAGCAATCCCGCAAGAAGCGCGCCCAGAGCTTCAGCTTCAACCAGCCCCTGCATCTCGATCTCTCCTTCACAGACCTCGGCGGCTCCCAAGCCCTCGCGCAAATCCTCTCCTCCTCCGACGACACAGCCCCCTCTGCCACACCATCACGTAGTTTCGCTCCTCTGCGCGTGATATACGAACTCGACGGTTCAAACCCCTCCTTCGACGTTGATACATCACAACCCCCCGATTTGATCTCAGACTATGATTGTGTTTCAGACAGTGAACTCGATGATTTACCCTCTCAGCGGGAATTTCTAGATAGTGCAGCTACGCCTGGTTCAGAGACGTGGGTGGTGCTAGGTGACGACTCGTAGCAGGTCCGAACTCGGGATACGCAGAACTGCAGTTTTTGCAGTTCCGAGTCAAGATAGCGATGGGAGAGCCTCATCGTCGGACTGGTCCTCATTTAAACTTGGCGCTGCTTGGGATGTTTTCTTGAACTGGGCGTGAGGCGCTGGTGCTCGCAGAAATGCTTGAGCATCGCGATGGTGTTACTTACGGGTAGCGACCTGCTTGCATAGTCGAAGCGAGTGCTGTTTTGTGTTTTGGATTGGTCCTACGGGACTTTGGATATTATTATTTACATAGCGCAATTGATGCTTCAGACTTGGTCTGGACTTGTACTATCTTCCCAACTTTTGATCGATGCTTGTGCCGCTGTGATCCTTGATAATACGTTAGAATTTTTGAGGTACCACTGGGAAGTTGTTCGCCGTGTGAGATCTTTCTGACTGGTCTCTGCCTAACTTGGTTCCTGAGTATGGCAGCCAGGCCTTGTTATTCAGCCTAGTCCCGAGCGTATAGCGGAACTCCGTAGGGAGAAATGGATTTGTGCTTGCGAACGTAATTAGCATTGTTGTTGTTGTTGGTTGAAGGCTTGCCGCCCATCCGTACACACGGCAAATCGGCATATACATGCAAGCTCATCACCAACGACGACCTTCCTGATCTAGTTCAATCAACCATACGTAAGTCCTAAAAGTGTAAATTTTTCGCAGATATTGGTGAATAGAGTCTTATCATAGCTCCATGCGCGTATGCTGGTGTTGACACTAACGTCGACCTCACTCTGAGGCGTCATCCATTGGCGACACGACCAACGACGTTGAGCCACGAAGAATGATCATCAAGGTTCATAGACTTATTACAGATGGAAATATTTCGTGCCCCAAGTCAGCGGCACCTTTTTATCCAATCTCAAGATGATTCCGCCCCATCATCAAAGTCTCCGACCGGAGATATTTAGGATCTCTCCGTAGAATGTATATAAGCCAAAGAGCAACCATATCATATCCTATAACAAACACGACTTACTTCTCAACCTCTCTCACTTCTAGTATAATCACAATGTCATCTAAACTCTACGACGTCCTCATCATCGGCGGCGGCCCAGGCGGTCTCGCCATGGCATCCGCCCTCGCCCGGCAAGTCTACACAGCACTTATCCTCGACTCGGGCGTGTATCGCAACGCACCTACAAAACACATGCACAACGTCCTCGGCTTCGATCACGTTGAGCCCTCCGTTTTTCGCGACAAAGCTCGTGAAGATCTTGAGAAGCGGTACGAAAGCATCGAGTTCAAGTCCACAACCATCACAACCGTTCGCAAAACAGACGCTGGTGTGTTTGAAGCAGTTGATCAAGATGGCAATGTCTATCAGGGAAAGAAACTTGGTCTTGGAACTGGGGTGAAGGATCTTGTGGAGGAGCAGCCTAAGGGATATGCTGAGTGCTGGGGAAAGGGGATGTAAGTGAATCTCTGGGGTTGTGAAACGCACCTGGCTGATTTTGAAGTTTCCACTGTCTTTACTGCCATGGCTTTGAGGAGCGAGGAGCAGAGAGCGTTGGAGTCTTTGCAGGCGGCATGGTCTCCAGCGCCGACATGCTCGCACACGTAACTCCCATGGCCAAACGCCTCTCCCAGTCTGTAACAATCTACACCAACGGCGACACCTCTCTCCCCTCACTCATCCAAACAAAAGTACACAGCAGCAAAGTGCACTACGACACCCGAAAGATCACATCCTTCGCGCTCATCAACGGCGGCCCCACCGTTGAAATAACTTTCGAGGACGGCTCGTCCAAGACGGAAGGCTTCGTGGTAAGCCATCCTAATGTCGCCCAAGCAGCACCGTTTGCGGAACAGATGGGACTGGAGAAGGCGGCAACGGGTGAGATTAAGGTTAATGCGCCGATGAACGAGACTAGTGTCAAAGGCTGTTTTGCATTTGGTGATGCGGCGACTGTCATGAGGAGTATGTTGCAGGCGATGCATATGGGTGGGTTTGCAGGTGTTGGGATGGCGATGCAATTGCAGCATGAACTGGATGAGAAGGATGAGCTGTGAGAAGTACGTTATGTGCTGTATTTCAAATAGATCCATGCCTGTTATTTGTCAATCTGCTTATGCCCTAATGCAGCTGATTCGCCCTTGCCTATTGATTGCATGCATCTCATCTTTTTGCCATTGCTTCTCACTTGGGCCATTTTACGAGACAACTCAAGACATACATGTTCTCGACTCAGACCCTGTCCCGTCATAAAACAATAAAAAGCGCTGGAACCCGTTTTATTGTGCTCTTCCATTCGCCGCTAGAACAAAAAGCCCCCGTACCGGTCGGTGTGTCTGTCTCAGTTGAGACTTGTGACTATCGCAATGCAAGGGATGGAGCCGTTCGGCATGACTTCATCTCTCAGCTACCTTGGCCAACAAGATCTGGTAGTCTTGGTAATCTATTCATCATTTCTGCAAGCGGCCATAAGTTGAAGAAAAAAAAAAGGTCAGAGAGTCAATTGAGTTTACTACAAGGTTTACATCAACGAATGATCCCCGATGACATGACACTGCATCTATCACGTCAAGAGGCTCTGCAAGGGGGGGATGATTACTCACTTACACCGAGTTATTACGAACTTGGACCGATTGGCCTTTGTTGAACACATGTGTTTTTGCCAAGATGGATACAGCGGATAGGTCGTTTCTACCGAGTGAAGATCTCAATAGACGACCCGTTGCATAGCGTCCGTGGGTATACCGTACATAGAAATTAAATCTCCGCTAGTGCCTCGAGTGCCGTGCTACTAGTAGTAGTATCCATAATAACAAACAAACATTCTGCTATTTCTCTGTGCCGAACCTAAACTCTACATAACTTAAAGGCAAGTCGAAGTTTGTTCAGGAGGTATTACCTAAGTTGAGTTGAGTTGCAATGCCCGGCATGGTCGGACCTCTTCTCTCCTGTGGAGTAAGATCGAAGATGATATCTACAAGGATGTAAATGTCTATGCAAGAAGAAACACAAATTAACTAGTAGATGCAGCTAAGCTCTCTCTGCAGGACCGGTCAGCGGACCAAGGAGAAATTTGTAATTAAGACATGCATATCCTCTTCATATAAAGATCATCACTTCCGAGGCTTGACATTGTCTCTCTATCTTGACCCAAGGTACCTAGTCAGTCAGTCTCAGACAAAAAACAGTTGCCTTCTTGTACAGTCGTCATCATGATCAAGTCTTTGGCCCTCTTCACCCTCATCACCGCCGCCACGGCGCGAAAGTGCACAAACATCACAGTCCCTGTGTCGCTTACCTCCCAAAATGCAGTTTTCACCATCAAGGCCCCGTTGACGGGCATTGACGTTACGAGTCTTGCTGTCAATCTCGCACGACAGGGTGCACCTCCATATCCTGAGCAGGTGCAAAAGGGTGTAAGTCAACCACTCACTCAATGCTTTGATATGAGCTTATGGTGTTAGTTTACTACTGTTTCGGGTGACTATAAACTTGCTGCTACATACTGCGAACCCGATGCCGGTCCTGGAAAGGAACTTCAGATCATGACGCACGGCATTGGCTTTGATAGAAGTTACTGGGACTTTCCTTACAACAATTACAACTACAGTTATGTTGCGCGAGCAGTTGATGAGCACGGCTACTCGACTCTTACCTGGGACCGTCTTGGAGTCGGTGCTTCTTCCAAGGGCGATCCATTGAACGAGATTCAAGTCTTTCTCGAGATTGCAGCTCTCAAGGCCCTCACTACCAAAGCCCGTGAAGGATCTCTTGGGGTAGGATGCAAGTACTCCAAGGTCGTTCACTTGGGCCACTCGTTCGGTTCGGTTATTACTTACGCGCTTGCGAATGAGAGCCCTGAACTCACTGATGCTATTGTCTTGACGGGCTTTTCGCAGGCTACTGCTTATCTGGGGCTATTTGCGGTTGGAAGCAACTTTGTTCCTATTACTGCCACACCTCTGGCGGATAAGTATCCCGCCGGGTACGTCGGTGTATCGTCTACAGTGGGCATTCAGATCAACTTCTTTGCAGAGGGCGACTTTGACCCCAAGATGCTGGAAGTGGCATATGAGAAGGGTCAACCTGTTTCGCCAGGCGAGCTTCTTACTTTGGGAGCACCAGCTGGGAAGAACAACACATACACGGGCCCCGTCCAGATCGTGACTGGCGGTAAGTTAACACTCACTTTGTGTAGAGCAGGGTGATACTAACAGCTGCAGCACGCGATGTTCCTTTCTGCGGCGATAACTGCTACTCTACTGTCAGTGTAGACGAGAAGCTGCCCTCGTTACTCGACATATCGAGACAGTTCTTCACACAAGCTTCGCGATTCAACACAACTGTTGTTCCAGGTGCAGGTCACGGACTGAACTTTGGGTACTCGCACACTGTCACTTACGATTCTATTCTCGAGTTTCTCTCAGAGTTGGCTTGATGCCTTGTTCCACCTTCTTTTCGCGTATTATTCTTTCAGTATCTACTGTACATAGTCTAGCCTGCAGCTAATACATGTCATGTTTATTCAAACGGATCATCAATTCATCCGTCAAATTCCCATCTCAAATCTCCATCAGCTCAATTGTCGAGTTGTTTTACCTGCAGAAGCCGTTGTCAGCCGTAACCCCACCTCCGAGACCCTGTAACGGGCAGCCGATTAGTGAATGCAGCCACTGGAACTTCCTAATCTGTCTGGGGGAGGAAAGAAAACTCAGTACCTTAATCCTCAATGACGAAAAGATTTAGGTAGCTTTAGCCTAAGCTTAGAATAACTTTTACTGAGTTTATTTTGACACCCCATATTAAGGTCCGTTGTTTTCTTACCCCCGAGGTCTGTGAATCTAATGCAGCTCCGTCATGACCAAGAATCCGAGGTCCATAGCGGGGTTGTCCAAATCTCCCCTCCATCTTTGTTCTTTTCAAGCAACAACACGTACACTCTCTACAAAAACTGCAAGATCAGCGCGACGAAGCCTGTACACGGAAGTGCGACGTCTGAACCTGATATCCTCAACGCGGCCGCGTTTCTTATCGCAAATACCCCACGCTAGAGCTATCACCATGGTCGCTGAAGATTACGAGGCTGTCCTCAAGGGCAAATACCCAGGCAAAGACCATGCCAAACGTGTCGTGGACCTCATTCGCAAGGATGTCCCTGATGCCAATGGTATTCTATACCTCGAGAGTCAAGTCACTCGAATGATGGAAGATAGCGACGAGCCCGAGCCCTTCCGGTGCGTATCCCACCTTATCTCCAAAACACCCACCATCTCATCTTTTGAACTTCCAGCCAGCGCCGATACTTCTACTACCTCACCGGCTGCAACCTCCCCGACTGCGCTTTCATCTACGACATCCAATCCGCGAAATCCACACTCTTCATTCCTCCCATCAACCCCGACGATGTCGTCTGGTCCGGCCTCCCCGTCAGCATCGACGAGGCCCTCGCGCAATACGACGTCGACGAAGTAAAGCTCACCACCGAGCTCAACGCTACCCTCGCACACCTCGGATCCGAGAACCCCAAGTCCTCAGCCTTTGCCATCGCGAACCAAGTCTCCGACCACGTTTCCTTCATCGGCTTCGACAACAAGAACTTCAACGTTTTGAAGACCGCTATCGAGACGTCCCGAGTGGTCAAGGACGAATTCGAGGTTGCTATGCTTCGAAAGGCGAACTATATCTCTGGCATTGGACATCGCGCTGTGTTTGCGAGGGCCAAGACTGCCAAGAATGAGCAGGAGTTTGAGGCGGCGTTCAAGGAGAGATGCTACTCTTATGGTATTAAGAAGATGTCGTATGATCCTATTGCTGCCGCTGGAAGAGCTGCTGCTACGCTGCACTACGTCCCGAACAATGCGCCTTTGGAGGGCAAGCTCAACCTGTTGATGGATGCTGGTGGCGAGTGGAACAACTACGCTGCTGATATTGTGAGTACGTGAGATCCTGGATCGGGTTGAGCTGACCTTTTAGACACGAACATTCCCCCTCTCGGGCAAGTTCACTAAAGAGTCTCGCTTTATCTACGAGACCGTCCTCAAGATGCAAAAGGAGTGCATTTCAGTTCTCAAGGAGGGTGTTGTCTGGGACGATGTTCATCTGCTCGCCCACAAGATCGCCATCGATGGCCTCCTCGAAGCTGGCATCCTCAAGGGCGACAAGGATGAGATTCTCAAGGCTCGCACGAGCGCAGCTTTCCTCCCTCACGGTCTAGGTCACTATCTTGGCATGGACACCCACGATACCGGCGGCAACCCCAACTTTGGCGACAAGGATAAGTTGTTCCGTTACCTGCGCGTGCGGGGCACTCTCCCCAGCGGCAGCGTTGTCACTGTTGAGCCTGGTGTAAGTGACATTCACAGCGTGGTTGAGTGGGGACTGACGTTTTTAGATCTACTTCTGCAAGTTCATCATCGATCCTTACCTCGAGGACCCCGTGCACAGCGAATTCATCGACAAGGACGTTCTGGACAAGTACTGGGATGTCGGTGGAGTTCGGTAAGTTGTGGCTCTGGTGGCCACCGTCGCGCTATCGAAGCAATTTGCTAACCGGTATTTGATAGCATCGAGGATAACATCCTCATCACCAAGACGGGCTCTGAGAACCTGACCGATGTGCCAAGGGAAGCTGATGAGATGGAGGCCCTGGTTTCTGCAAGTTAGAGTGAAGCGAGCCCCAACACAATAATAAGCTTATTTGAGAGATGATCAATAGACCAATAAATCGTTTCTATAAATATCATCCCCGCGATTATAATTATGTATCGATATTTAATATTTTATCCTGGTTTTTGGTGTCGAAACACTCGTAGAAACACTCTTTGTCTGAATACTGTGTGCAATCCAAACCCCTGACCATCCACACGGTGCAATTTCTTGGCCACCCAACACGTATTGCTCTGTTCATCTTTTACATACCTTTCCTCTCCTCTCCCTTCTCGAAACTCAAACCAAGTAACCCTCTTTAATACTCTAATCTACTCTCTCTATGTGGCAAAATGAATCCGTATTTCCCTCCAACGCCAGACGCAGAGAAATGGTCTGACCCAAATTACTACACGCGACCAGCCCCCGTCGCACCGGCAACTCCGTCCCCGCCGCCGGAATACAGTGCCTACCGTCCCGAGTTCGGCGCCGGCCTAGCACCGCCTCCGCGGCCTCTACGCCCGGTCCGCTCGGCGACGAATCTCACTGGCGCCCATGCACCGCAGCAGTCGGGGTTCTTGGACCCGAGGGGGAATTACCAGGTTGATTTTGTGGTTGATGAGATTCCAAGTCCGACCTCGTTATCACCTGCGCCTCTGAGTCCTGCGCCGTCAAATGAGATCAGAAGAGTTAAGAGCTCATCTGCTCTATCAGCGAGGTTGGACGCTCAAGAAGAGAAACCGAAGGATTCGTCGAAATGGAAAGCTGCGCTTGGAGAAGCGCAGTATTTCGCTGGGGGTCTTATAAGTCACCCTGCAGAGTCCAACAAGCATTTCAGCATCATTCGGCATTCTCACGCTCTGATATGGTACAGAGGTCCAGCGACTTCAGTGCCCATCACCATCCTCTCAGACGAGCCTCTCCCGCCTACAAGGACTGTGTGGTTACAACAGAAGGGATATTCAGGAAACATGGGAATGACGCTTAAAGCAATGATGGGAACGACGGGGACTTGGATCGACGTCACGCCCGCGACAAAAACAGGCGTGGAGCATATCTCTGAGGCAGAAGAACGTGGTATACAGCGCGATTTCAAGCGTTTCGTCAAGAAAGCCTCTGGGCGGATGAAGAAACACCTCCCGAGAGAAACACACATCATTCGCATCCCCGCCGCAGCAACAGATGGTTATTTCCGCCTCGTTCTCTGCTCCAACGCCGATGGGAAGAAAGTCCTCTGCGGCAGTCCCGTCTTCCGCATCGCCAGCACATCCACAGACGTAAGCACCGTTCGCGGCTCAAGTCTAAGCACCATGCCTTTAGAAATGGGCATCAAAGTCGCTAGCACGATTGGGTCACAGGTAGCAAAGAAGTACACCGGCGTCGCAGGCGCAGTCGTCGAACAGGGGGCCAAGAGACTCACGCCTGCGAACGCTACTATCAAGAAAGTCGCTACAAAAGCGTATCACGGGAGTGGCATTGGAAATGCAGTTAGTGAGAGTTGGAAGAATGGTAAGGCCGGACGGTATGATCCGCTGATATCGGGGGAGGCGATGGAGCCGTTGACGATACTTGGGAGTGACGAGGGACCTGAGGCGCCGTTTCCTTTCAAGTTTGCGGGCAAGGTTGTTCGCGGGACGGGGATATCAACTCGTGAGTTGGGAATACCGACGGCGAATTTGAGTGAGGTTGGCGATGAGGTCAAGATGCGAATGGCCGGTGTCTTTGCAGCGTGGGCGCGCGTCCTCCCACCGAAAGAAAGCGAAGATTTCGACGATGACTGGCACGAAGCAATCGTCACCATCGCACCGCTCCGCAACGCCCCTCCCGGCGTGGTTCTTCGAAACAAAGTAACAGTTCACATCCTACACGACTTCTCCGACACACTCTTCTTCGACCTACGCATGAAAGTCATGCTAATGGGGCACTTGCACCCTTTCTCGCCCAATCTCAGCAACGAAGCCTTCTTGGAAGAGCACACACGCGATGTGATGACCACGGCAGCGAGTCTGGGGCGGGAGAACTGGGGTCCGGAAGTTTCTGTGTCGGCGGTCAGGGCTGTCAAGAGCGAGAAGGGGTTTAAGGAGCGGTTGGGGGATGCGACGGGGGTGGTGCAGAGCCAGATGGACAGGATACCGAAGCATTGGGTTGGAGTTAGGAGTGAGGCTGGAGTGTTGAGGGATCAGGTTTATGGGAATGGCGGGTTGTGGGTTGAGAGGTGATGGGGAGATATAAGTAATGTTAATAAATGAGCGTGTTTATCAAGTTCTCTGATGTTGGAGAGAAGCTTCTTTGCATTCTGTTTAGGGATGAGAAGGTAATTCTCTGAAGAAGCCAAAATGTTGCGTTGACCTGCGGGAAAGCTGTTGCAGTATGAGGCAACTCCTTCAAGAAGGGGATTTTCAATAGAGATAACTCAGAATACATTGAGGATGCACTTCGATACGGAATCAACGGGCAAGCCTAACAAGCTCATGTGCAGCAACGAGTGACTTGAGCAAGAACTCGGCCAAGGAGAAGCATCAGATGCATCTCAGGCAACGCTCACTACCAGCAGCTCAACGGCCAGCTCTTTGCCTGGTCGTCCCAAGTAGCTGAGTAAAGCTTCCTGTCCAAACTGCAAACTTGTCGCCACTATCTCAAGTTAACGATCAAGTCCCAAGCGCAGAGCCTCTGCCCAAGACGTCCCTGCGATACTTCCCTCGCCCACCTAAATCTCATATCATGGCGGAACATCACGGCTTACTTCTTCCCATGACATATCCCCGTGACGTCTCCGATCATCAAACTCTCGCGGCATCCGCGGATATGTTCAAAAACACCATCATGAGCAATCGTGACTTTCCAGCTGGAGTTCTCTCTTCCCTCACGAAATGTCCCTTTCAAAGGTCCCTTACACCCCCGGAACCGCATACTAGGATCTCATCACACCCCCAGGACCCTGAAATCAAGAACCCTTGAAGCCATCGCGCGAATTTCCCATGTTCCAGAATGCCATGTACATCTCGGACTTCGACCGGGCTCTGCTCTGCTCTGGGCGTGCAGCTATCACGCACACCAAATTCCAGCGCTAGAACGAACACCTCGGTCTTCATAATCATGCCGTTGTGACGAAAGTCCAGGCACGTGGAAGCATCATATCATATCACTCGCAGCCTCCCAAAGTTTTCTCCTACGTAAGAACACAATCAGACCACCGTGCCAAGCATACCGGGATGTCATGTGATATCACAAAATCCCAAGTAAAAAGGACGGTTTCGTGATGCAGGGTCCTGGGTGTATGTTCTGCACGTCGTAGGATAGAAAGTCTCACATGGTGGGATTGACGGGGGTTTCTTGTCGTGTAGTTTATATGATATGATGCTTTTGTGTAGAGCGCGGAAGCCATGGAAGTTTGGAACTCAGGATCTGTGGGGGCAAATCCAGGGTCTCGGTAGCAAAGAGGCGTTCTAGAGCGTTATCTGTCAGCGGGAAGGGGGCGACGGAATGTTCGGCATATTGATAAGTCAATTCAAAAGAACAGGGGACGGGATCAGATCATGGAAATGGCCGTTTCATTCTCAATCAATCTACCTAGCGTCGCCCTAGTCATCCGCGTACAGGAACTCTGTACTGCTTGTTGTTTTTAAGTTCGCAAATGCATCGCTTATCTGCAAATGTTCATATGGTGGTGGTGGTTGGCGTGCGCTCTTAGTAGCGAGGATTGCTTCCATAGCCCTGGCCTTGTCCGTATCCTTGGTTCTGTTGGTAGCCTTGATCTTGCTGGTAACCTTGATTCTGATAACCCTCGTTCTGCTGGTATCCCCCAGAGTGGCTTGACTGATGCTGTGGCGGCGGAGGGTACTGGTCGGGGCGGTACTCTTGGTGCGATTGCTGTTGCTGAGGTCTATACTCATCCTGGGGTCGGTAGTTATCCTGTTGCTGAGGTCTGTAATCCTGCTGAGACTGGTGCTGTGGTCGGTAATCGCCCTGTTGTCCTTGAGGCCGGTACTCGTCGTGACCTTGAGGTCTGTAGTCTTGGCTCTGCTGTGGTCTATAGTCCTGCCCTTGAGAGGGCCTGTAGTCCTGTCCCTGAGGAGGTCTGTAATCGTGACTCTGTTGTGGTCTGTAGTCCTGGCTCTGGTGATCAGGTCGATTATCCCCAAACTGCGAAGGAGGATTATACGGCTGTTGATAACCCCCTCCGTGCTGCTCCGACGGCCGCTCGTATCCTCCCTGTCCTGACGAATGTTCTCCTTGTGAAGCCGGCACAGGCGCATTCGAGCCACCAAGATTCGCTTGAGCCGGCGCCCCAACACTAACACCCTCATTCCCAATATCATCCGGCACCGAGATCTTAACTTTGGGCAGATACTTCTGCACCTTCATCTCCACCATATTCTGCACAAACACCCAGCTCTGCCTCTCAAACTTCCTATGCCCACCGTTAACAACGCCCAGAATACTCTCCCTCAGCGTCTCCTGGACCTTCCTCACCAGCCCTCTAATCTTGTTCACCAGCTTCGCCTTGATATCGTCCCCAAACCCTCTATCCGCCGAGTGACCTGGTCCCGCGTCGCGGTCGAGCTGTGTATCGAAGGGATTTCCACCGAGGATTTTCTCGAGGGGACGTTGGAATTGATCGGGCAGTAATTCGAAGAGCTGCTTTTCAATACCGCCGAGAATCTTGCGGAATTCGAGACGCACTTCTCTGTGGACTCTTGCGATGCCTGTGCTGAGTTTATCGCTTATGACTTTTGAGAAACCGCCGCTCTCGCCATCAGCGCGTTCGCCATCACGATCTCCATCGCCGAAGCCTCTCGCCTCACCCTCGTTGGACTTTTTGCTTCCAAACAGTCCCCCAATTCCCTTGACGAGATCCTTGACCTGATCTTCAATCTCGCCCTTGACACCATCGCCTAGATCCTTCGTGCTTGTGTTTCCTCGTAGCCAGCGCTTGATGTGGTCGAGAGCAATGCGCGTGAATTGCTCTGCGATTGGGGCATGCTGTTCGCGGAGTTTGGCGCCGACTTGTTCTTTGATCTCGGGACTGATCATCCGCGCCTTTTCTTCTGGGTTGCGTGCGGCGTCTTTAACCGTGTTGCTGATCACACCTAGCAGACCGTCAAGTTCAAAGCCTTGACCTCCTCCTCCCCTACCGTTATTGTTCTCAAGATGGTCCTGCACCGCGTCGAAAGCAGCAGACAAGAACCCCTTCGCACCACCTCCACCCCGCGACGTCTCCCCTCCCCTCGATCGTGTATCACTCTGCCCACCTCTCCCCTCCGTAATATCGAAGATATCCCGTAGATCATCCCCCGCTTCATCAGTAATCTTTGTAAAACTCCTCGTCAAGCTCGCCAACTCGTCCGCGAACGGCAGACTCTGTCCTCCGTAGGCATCAGGCGCATCATCCTTAAGATCGAACGGACTTCGTGACGAGGAATCTTTATCTTTGTTAAAGAGCGATCGGAAAGCGTCGACGACTTTATCTTCGAGGCTGTCGATGGTCTTTTGCTGAAAGGTCTCGAGCTCGGAGGTGATGCGGGGCTGGATCTGAGGCGCGAGTGAGTCGACATATTCGTCTACTTTCTTGAAGAGGACTTCTGGGACGCCGCGGGAGGACATTTTGGAAGAAGGAAAGTCGGTGATGGGGATGGAGGAGGAAGCTAAGGATAAGGTTATTTCGGTTGAGCGTACGGAGTAGAGAAGTTAGTTAGTGAGGGGTCCCTGAAGCTGAGGGGAGCTGAGTTGGCATGTGACGTCAGCGCTTGCGATCTACTTTCATGCAGTTCAGTCAATCAGTCGGTGTAAGTCAATAAATCTCTCTATAAACAATAACAGTAGAAGTGAAGTAAAGTGGTTCTATATCAATCCCAATTAATTGAGCTTCCAATCTACACTCAAACGAAGCGTCCCTTCCTCTCAACCTTCATAGCTTTAGGCTTCCTCCCCTTCGGCTCAACAACAACCCAATCCTTCACCTTGGCCTCACCCACCGCCAACGCCATCAACTGCTCATCCGTACAGCTCAACGGCGCATCTCTAACAAAGCACGTATTCACCGGCGACTCAGGAACCTTGTTCATCACACCCCTCACACTCTTGCGCCCCTTGGTCTTGTACCCCGCATGCTTCCTCAGGTCAACCTCCCCAGTCGCCAAATCCCTTCGTGACATGACTCTGTTGAAGATCACAGACAGCGCCTCGGCCTGGTAACCTTCTACACCGTGGCCTGACTCAAAGATTCGAGAGAATGATATGTTGCCGTGCTCGCGGACGAAACCAGCTGTGTAGGAGCAGTTCGTCTTGATAGGAGTGTATCCGGCGGAGCGGAACTCAGAAGCAGAGGGGAAGTTTAGCGAAAGACTGATGTTTTCACCACCGTACCCTTTAACTATTAGCAATCACGCCATAATCAACATCTGGGAGAACTTACAAGGGCAGCGATAGTCGCGATCAGCGTAGATCAACGCAACATTGACACCCCGCTCAATAACCCTCTCTACAGCATGAAGACTCCCAATCATGATATCGCCCGTCTGGCCCAACCACACTTTACCAATATTATTCACTCCTGTGGTAAAGTTAAGCGGAACTCCGAGATCGCGCTGTACCCATGGTTGGTTGAAGAAGTTCTCAATGTAAGGCTTTGGGAAGAGTGTGATGTTGGAGTGCGTGATGTCAAAAGGCGATCGCTAGCAAAAGTCAGCATAGAAGAAACTGATTGATGGGGAAGAGGCACGTACGTCAGAGGTAGCCTGATAAGTCCCCTGGATCCCAAAGAAGCACAAGTTCGTCGCCGCAAGACAAGCTTCATTCACAGTCTCGTTATTCCCAAACCTTTCAGGATCGCCCTCCGCCACGAGAGCGCGACACTTATCTGTCAACGCATAACAGCCCGTCTCCGGTTCCTCGATCTTCTCTAGCATACCCTTGTACGTCTTATCGTCAAAGAACTGAAGACCGTAGTTATTATGATGACCATAATCAGCGTACCCCTTCGCCATAGCTCGAGCGTCAATGCCAGGTTCTTGAAGACCTAGAGTTGCGAGGTTGAGAATCGTAGCGTTTTCAAAGGTTGGCTCGGAGTCGGAGATGAGGGTGTTTTGGTCCTGGAAGTAGGAGAAGTAGTTGGGACCATAGAAACCGCCGTACTGAGGATGTTAGCGATAGTAAGTAGAGGTTGAGAAGGCGACTTACTGAAGATGTCCAAAGTGATATCTCATCATTCTCAGTCTGCCACTCCGGAAACCTAAACCAATATCAGCCGCGTATCACCAACTCTCCAGGCAAAACATACTCATTGAACCAAACCTGCGCGAAAGCCCACATCGTCCTAGCACCACTCATCGTCGTCTTCGGCACAGTCTCCAACTCCCCCGAGTCAAAAGTCGCCTGCAAAATCGTCCCATTCGTATTAGGCACCTTATCCCCCTTCACTGGTGTAAACGTCTGTGTGAGGGTATCAAACGTCCCATTCACTAGATCAACGTATGAGAAGCCCGTTCCCAGTGGCTGGTCGATGTATAGCATGTTGACATGTTTGTTCCATGAGATCTCATTGAGGGTCGTTGAGTTGGAGTCGGCGTTTACGGAGCAGGGGAAGCCGTTTGTGTTGTCGAAGGAGGATGAGCCGGGACCGCCGCCTATGTAGATTGATGTTGGGGCTGTGGAGGGATTGTTTCGGGCCTCTGGTGTTTATTAGCACGTTTGTTATAGATATCTTGTTATATGAGATGTATCGTACCGAAGTACCAGAAGAAGAGGTGGGCTCTCTGCTTCTCATCCCAATGCTGAAAGTCAGGGAGTAGACTCTTTGGAAGCGAGACATAACCGCTGTAAGCACTGACACCCTCAGTAGTCTCACAAACAGAAGTCTATTCAATTATTAGTCACTCCATCTTCCGAAAACGTTGAGGGGCTTGAGGCTTTACCTTCTTGTACGAAATCTCAGCGCCATTGAACAACTTGGACGACACGACTTGTAGACCCTCTGGCGCAGCCACCCACTCTTGAGCAGCCACCAACGACACAAACGCCAGACCAAGACTCTTCGAAAGCCTCATTACGAACTAGTAGAAAGAAACAGAAATAGAAGAGTGTATGTATGAGATGAATGATGCTCCTCCTCTTTCCCAGCGATCAACTTACGCTCTTATATCCTCGCATCGGTCAATCCCAGAATATTGATCAACGCTTCATCTCGCCAATCACTCATCATCAAAGAGGCTCAGACTCCATGAGATACATCACGACCCTGCTTCACGGCTCTCAATCGAGTATGCCACGACCATGTTTGGCGACCCGACCAATCACCGCTCACAACACTCCAGAAGAAAGAGAACAATATAATGCACTGATGACTCCGTGGTCCACTATTGCTTACGTCCAGGGCATTGCCTGTAAGGCTGAACAAAGGATGGCACTGTTTGTTGGTGAGCCGGCCAATCAAGGACCCTTGTCGAGCTTACGATGGGTAGCTTGGATGCTCGCCAAACAATTTCTCCGGAATGAGGAATGGATATTCACTCTTGAGCACGAAAAGAGACTCAATTGAAGTTTAACGTCATGTCGGAAGAAGTTAAAATTAGATATCACTTTGTATTGACCACCTCGATCTCATCCTACATGCAAATAACGATCCGCCCATTGACGATCCCTGCATCAACCCCCAAGCCTTTCATCCCTTATAGTCAATTACAACAGTCACGTCACAAACATGGGATCAAGTCATAGGTGCAAATGATTCTCTTGAGCTGTACCTGCATTGCATTCTGGCAGCTTTTTAGTGTATAGTATATTTATATCTGTTCTGACCCAACTCCTTTCCTCCCTTCCAAACACAATCCGTCGCATTGCATTCCAGTCATCGGAAGGCAAACTTTTTTAAATCCATGCCCAATTGTCCTGTCCATTCGCCATTATACAGTCTTCGCATTCAATCAAGTCATCGTTCAGGCATACGCCTCGGAGACATTCGTGACACGCGTAAAACCAGGCTTCGCTCAACTATCCGCAGGCGTAAAGATAAAACACAATGGTCTGTCACATCACACGCAGAACCCGCATTAAAGCATGTCTCGGTCCGTTCAACGGCGACAAGCAAGCATTGGGGTTGGGCGGTGAAGATGGCCAGAAAGTTCCCATTAAAAAAACAAGAGTAAAACAGAAGCGGGTGATGTTCCGTGAGAGCAAACGAGGAAATCAGGACTCGCAGATAAACATGGCTCCCAAACTCCGATGCGGATGCCCGGCTCGCCATGCCAGGCTAGCACAAGTCCAATACCGTAAACGCCAAACAATTGTGGCCGTCAGCCGTGAAAGCATTCCCAATGACTGCATGTCAAAGGACTCTGCTGTTTCGGATCAAACAGCCGGGGTGGAGTAGTGATGTTGGGCGACAAACAAAACGTTGTCTTGTCCCATAAGTGTTGAAGGGTTATTAGATATCAAGATAGTAAAGCAATCTTGGGTTGCTCTTGATGTTGTGTTGCTGGTGGATGTTAACAGTCCAACCTCATTCCACGGTCGTCGTGACGATTCTATCCTCGGATCGCCGTAGCAGCATGTCCATCAGACCAGGGAAACCGATCCATCATCTGTTGCTGGACATGGTACGACAGATCGTTGGATGGTGTAGCATCGAACGACACGAAGGCGGGTGAAGCCGACCTAGCCGTGGCTGAAGGTCTCGGTGAAGGCGAAGTACTGTTGGCACGGAACGCATCCTTAGGTGTTGAAGCACCCGACGGAGGGCTCAAGGCGCCGTGCAGCTGAAGGCTATGGTGAGCTGCAGGTCCGGCGTGATGGACATTTCCGTTCGGGCTTCCAAGTGAGGTGGTGTAGCTGCGACGATGGTGATTTCCGCCGGCAGCACCGTCGAAGCGGGCGCCGCTGAGTGTACCGTCCTTCATGTTAGGACTCGACTGTTTTGATCCAAACTGCAACACGAACAACTGTTAGTAACCGACTCTTTCATTTTGCTTCTGTGTCGCCGTGCCATCCCGTAGGCCTTGGAGACTGATGCTGAGTTTCTGGTGGATGAGGGATGGGCGACGGGCACCAGAAGCGATGGGTGAAGCAGGGCGAACTTCGGGGGCACGTACAAAGCAGTACTTGTTGACCAACTCTTCATATGAAGAGCTGGAGATGGTCGAGTTAGGAGAGGTAGCTCCGGTGGCATGCGGCTGGCTCTTAGCGTTGGTGGCAGGCTCAAGGACAGTGAGGGTAGGCTTGGGAGTCCGGACGTTGGCCTTCATGTAAAGTCCATCCTTATCCTGAGAGGTCTCCTTGTCCTTCGCAGCCTGGACAGCAGCACTTAAGGAAGCGCCGAAGTCGTACCGGTTGGAGAAGGCAAGTCCGCTAGGCGAGCCGAAATCCTTGGAGAGGTTATCGCTAGCAAGGTTGCCAGCCGACTTGGACTTGAGACGGAGACCGCCAGTGCTGTTCTCAGACTCGCCGAGATACTCGTGAATGGGCTGGTCAAAGTTGAGCTTAGCATCGTCGCCGAAGTCACCAAAGCCAACAGGCATCGACTTGGGTCGGGGGACATTAGCGCTGCTGGTACGTCGGCTACTCCGGGGAAGGCCATTAGCGGGTCGGGAAGAAGCGCCCTGGAAGTTGTT